CTTTACATTCTTCTCAGGCTCCTCTTCCTTCACTTCAGGCTCCTCTTCCTTCAGTTCAAGCTCCTCTTCTTTCACTTCAGGCCTCTTTACCTTCTCCTCAGGCTCCTCTTCCTTCACTTCAGGCCTCTTTACATTCTTCTCAGGCTCCTCTTCCTTCACTTCAGGCTCCTCTTCCTTCAGTTCAAGCTCCTCTTCTTTCACTTCAGGCCTCTTTACCTTCTCCTCAGGCTCCTCTTCCTTCACTTCAGGCCTCTTTACATTCTTCTCAGGCTCCTCTTCCTTTACTTCAGGCTCCTCTTCCTCCAGTTCAAGCTCCTCTTCTTTCACTTCAGGCCTTTTTACCTTCTCCTCAGGCTCCTCTTCCTTCACTTCAGGCCTCTTTACATTCTTCTCAGGCTCCTCTTCCTTTACTTCAGGCTCCTCTTCCTTCAGTTCAAGCTCCTCTTCTTTCACTTCAGGCCTCTTTACCTTCTCCTCAGGCTCCTCTTCCTTCACTTCAGGCCTCTTTATATTCTTCTCAGGCTCGTCTTCCTTCACTTCAGGCTCCTCTTCCTTCAGTTCAAGCTCCTCTTCTTTCACTTCAGGCCTCATTACCTTCTCCTCAGGCTCCTCTTCCTTCACTTCAGGCCTCTTTACATTCTTCTCAGGCTCCTCTTCCTTCATTTCAGGCTCCTCTTCCTTCAGTTCAGGCTCCTCTTCCTTCACTTCAGGCCTCTTTGCCTTCTCCTCAGGCTCCTTTTCCTTCACTTCAGGCCTCTTTACATTCTTCTCAGGCTCCAATTCCTTCACTTCAGGCTCCTCTTCCTTCAGTTCAGGCCTCTTTACCTTCTCCTCAGGCTCCTCTTCCTTCACTTCAGGCTCCTCTTCCTTGACTTCAGGCCTCTTTACATTCTCCTCAGGCTCCTCTTCCTTCACTTCAGGCCTCTTCACCTTCTCCTCAGGCTCCTCTTCCTTCAGTTCAGGCCTCTTTACCTTCTCCTCAGGCTCCTTTTCCTTCACTCCAGGCTCCTCTTCCTTTACTTCAGGCCTCCTTACCTTCTCCTCCGGCTCCTCTTCCTTCACTTCAGGCCTCTTCACCTTCTCCTCAGGCTCCTCTGCCTTCACTTCAGGCCTCTTTACCTTCTCCTCAGGCTCCTCTTCCTTCATTTCAGGCTCCTCTTCCTTCACTTCAGGCCTCTTCACCTTCTCCTCAGGCTCATCTTCCTTCACTTCAGGCTCCTCTTCCTTCACTTCAGGCCTTTTTACCTTCTCCTCAGGCTCCTCTTCCTTCACTTCAGACTCCTCTTCCTTCACTTCAGGCTTCTTTACCTTCTCCTCAGGCTCCTCTTCTTTCACTTCAGGCTTCTTTACCTTCTCCTCAGTCTCCTCTTCCTTCTCTTCTAGACTCCTTTCTTTCTCATCACTCTCTTTCTCCTTAACTTCAAGCACATTTTCCTTTACTCTAGACATCAATTTCTCTCCTGCGAGCAGAACTTCCTTCTTTAAAAGCTCCTCTCCCTTCATTTTGGACTTTTCCTCTTCCACGCTAGACTTATTTTTATTTAACTTCGTTTTCTTATCCACTTCTCCATTCATCTGCTCCCCATTGGGGAGTTTATCCTTTTCAACTGACATAGGAGTCACCTTCTTCTTTGAGGATTTTGCGGATGAATGATCCTCTCCACTTTTATTTTTCATTTTCATTTCGCGGATTTCAAGAACACGTTTCCTTGTATTCATCAAATTTTGTTTTTTAGTCAGACATTCCTCAATGGAAGCTTCATCTCCGTAATCATCCAACCAATTCAAAACGCCTTGGCAGTCATCCACAAGTCTTTGGACTAGTCCCATATAGGCGTTGGAATCGGTACCACCACCTTTTCGGTTGCCATGTGGACGAACTCGAATGCAGTGCATAATATCGCTCAGTTCACGTTTCAGGTTGGCACAGTATTCATGTAGTTCGTTCGTTATTTCATCGAGAGCTTCAGCGTCTCTAAGATGCTGTTCGAATATTTTCAGCTGGTCAGACGATTCTGAAATGTTTGCTTGGTAGTTCAATGCTGAACCAGGAGATTCTTGGCTCTGAATTTCAGCCTGAATGTATATTCCGAATGGTTTGTTGATGTAAGAACGTTCGATTTCCTCTATCACTCTATTACCGATCTTTCTACGTTTTGTAATTTTCATTTTTGAACACGGTTTGGTATATCGGTGGAAGCCGTTCTTTTTGAGTGGCATTAAAGATGGATACTGTATAATATCTGAAAGTTGAAACATATGTTTGTTCCCACTAAGCATATGTGCCAAAACGGCTGCTCCACATGCAACGGATTCATCCGCATTGACGGTTTTGTTCAACCTTCTTCCGTTAAAATATTTCTTCAGGGACAACTGAACGGAAGGCACTCTTGTTGATCCTCCGGTAACCACCACCTCATCGACGTCTTTCGTCGAGAGACCAGCGTCTTGTAGGACTGAATTTAAAATGGTGTTAATAATGGAATGGTCTGCGATATGTTTCTCAAATTGTCGTCTCGTTACAACGAAATCCAAATCAAGATCACCTATGAAATTGTCGATTTGAATCCTGTTGGACTTCAGGAGAGTGAGTTTCATCTTCAGTTCTTCACACGCTAATTTGAGCCTCATGGTAGCTTTCGGGTGATCCAGAAGTCTGATTTTGTGTATATCGTAGAATTTGTCGTTCAAGTCTTCCATGAGCTTTTGATCCAAGTAGTTCCCGCAAAATAAGTCGCTGCCACACACCGCCAAAATTGTGATCTCTTTCTCACATATTTTAATAACCGAAACGTCTAGCTTTGTGGCCCCCATATCGAACACCAGGATGGTTTGTTGCGCCACGGAGGGGCCGCGGTTGTGCCAGTACGCCAGAGCTGTGGCTGTCGTCTCACTGATGAGGTCCAGCAGGGGCAGCCCGGCAATTTGACAAGCCGCCACGAGCGCCTCCCGCTGGGTGTTGCTGTAGGACGCGGGCACGGCCACCACCGCTCCTCCGATGTCCCCAACTTGGACTTCAGCTTCTTGTCTCATCTTGAGCAGTTGCATGGCGGCGACCAGCTCTGGGGCGACGTGCACTCTGCCGCTGCGGTACTCCACTTCCATCACAGGCTTCCCCCCATCATCCACGACTTTCACTGGGCTGTAGGATGCGTAGTTTTGCACGACCGGGTCCCTGAAGCTCCTGCCGAGTATGGTCTTGACGCCATAGACGGTGTTGGTGGCGTTGAGCGCCGCCTGGTCCCTGGCATCGCTGCCCACGAGGCTGCGGGAGTCGGTGAAGGCAACAAAACTCGGAGTGGTCTTGTCGCCGTGAGCGTTTGGCAACACCGTCACCGCTCCAGCGCGCACGCTGGCAACACAGCACTTGCCTGCGCCCAGGTCCAGCCCGATGCTGGCCGCGCCCGACATCTTCCTGTAATGCAATATAAAAATAGTCACTATTGCTTGAAATATCATTGATATCCCTCACGTTCATGAGGGTAGGAGTGGAAACGGAGAGCGACTTCAAAGAAGAGCCACGACAAAGAACACAATATATAAACGGGTTTCAGTAGTAAAATTAAGAATATTATAAATTAAACGGACTAGAAAAGTGCAAATTGATGAATGAAAGTGAATAGAAAAATAGAGAAAATAATAAAAAGTGGTGGAAATGGCTGGATGATAATGGCTGTGGTGAAGAGGTCGGCGGAACCGGCTTGTATCATTGATATGCACGCTGTCTAATCTCTTTATTTATTTGCCTAGTAAACATAAGTTGGTTGCTCTGTCTTGCCCTGGATAGATAATCTCAGTCATTTTAAAATCGAGTAATTCTAAATCCCATCATTTCGAATTTTGCCCTGTTAACAATTTCGAATCTGACGAACATGCTTTAAGGTGGTTTTCAAGCGAAAAATTGTGGTTTTTAAACCACCATTTTTTAGCATGAAAATACCAATTAGATCCCAGTATGAAATTCGAGTCAAACACTCAATCAACATTTCTGAATGAAATTTAACGTGTCAAATTAAAATCCTACCTCAATTTCACAGTTTACTCCTGCAATGTATAAATTTAACGATACTAATTGAGAAAAACCTGGTCAAACCCATTATGAACATCAAAACTCCCAATTTGATATGTGAAAAAAATTCACCGGTCTACAATCCAATGTATAAATACTGAGTGAAATTGGTGTTTGAAAACGCATTTGGAGTGCGCGTAGGAAGGCGTTTTGCAAAGCCTTACGTATCATTTTTCATGACGAAATTTGATTAAATTTAGGAGGATATGATTAATAATACAAAGAATTAAGATGATATATAATTATAGTGTTATAGTTATGAGGAATGTATTGATAATACAAAATCAACGAACAGGATGTTAAATATAGTGTGTAATTTTTAGCGCATTTTCTCATTTATGAAAAAAATGCACTATTGTGCTCGCCATGTCCGTCTGTCCGTCCGTCTGTCCGTCCGTCTGTCCGTGACCTCAAGTTTTCGTCGACGAGAAAATGCGCTCTCTGTCCCTCCCTGCAGTGAGTACTGAGTTATATTTTTTTTTGTTGGCCCAGTCGGACATATTTCTGAGGAAATCAGCAGCTTATCAGTCACGAATAAACACCATCACACAAGTAGCTAGATTAAAATATATTGTCTTCATATCTATAAGAGTTTATATCTATACATACACAATATTAAAGAATAACGCTATGGGTTTTGAATGTGAAACAAAACGTTTACACTGAAATACGTAAAATAATAAAAGGTTCATATTGTTTTAATACAGACACATTTTCTTATAATTGTCTTAATACTGATTTATTTTTAATTGAAATTTATTTAATACTGATTTATATTTATTATTTATTTTTTTCATTATTGTCTTAATACTAACTCTTAATACTGACACATTTTCTACCCATAACACGATTTTTTTGGGCTAAACTGGGTTGGGATGACCCACTTAAGAGAAAAGAGTGATTTTTAATATTATTATCAAAAGAGTGGACTAAATCCCACTCATTTTCCTGAGTGTACCAGTGTCATAGCAACCTAAATCTCTAAGAAAATTGATATGAACATTGGACGAATAATATATAATAATATATATGTATATATTATGTATCATAATAATGTATAATAATATAGAATATTATAAAATGCATATCTCAACATTCGATCACAATGAAATTATTCATCGCTTAATTAACTGTTGCCCACGTCTAAGTTTAATTACGTTTCGATATTCATATGAATAAATATTAATGTTCATAAGGATATTTCTACATAGGACTTTCAGTCTTGTTCAAACGTAGTTACCCATGTCCATGCCAATCTTCTTTCTAGCTTCTTATCACCCTAAAGAAACATTTTAACTAACGACTCTTTCGAATTGATATTAACTGATGGAGTTTTACTCGGGACAAATTTACAAAAAATTTCAATAAATTTCGAAGTAATTTCGAATAAATTCCAAAATTTTTTTGAAAAAATTCTAAGAAATTCCGAATAAATTCCAAGAAATGTTAAAGAAATTTCAAGAAAATTTCAAGGAATTTCCAAGAAATTTTCAAGAAATTTCAAATAAATTCTTAGAAATTTCTCAAGATTTTATGGTCAAGAAATCAAACTATAATTTCTTGAGATCCAAGCAACATCGGATTTTGTCTATTAGCACTTTCTCCACATACGAATTTTTCTAAGCTTGATCGTACTTACCTAATTTCAGTTATTTATAACGTAATTTTATTTTGGACGAAGCAGGAACACGGAAATTTCTCCTAGTCTTTTCTTAGAATCAAATTCGTTAGTGCAGAATGAGATTCAGTAGTTACATTTTCCCATTCCATTTTGGGCTCAAATCGCTTGACGATAATTCTTCATGGATTTTTTATACTAGCATCCTTATAATTACACTTCTTTCAAACATAAATAATCACACTTTACGTAGAAAAATATTTTTAACTGCTTATAAGTTCCAACTCAGCTTGGCACTGCAGTCACAGCTGTCGGTTGCGTGGCGCTATAAGTTGCCGGATGTCGCTAGCCAACTACGACCTACATTATTATTTCATAATATGGAATTAAGGTCTAGAAATTAAATTTTACCGATAAATTCTTAAGATATTCTAATAAAATATAATAATCAGCGTTGAAACACTTGTTTATTCATGTAATTATACTGTATTTTTAGTTTTAAAACGACACTTGTGACTCGTACGAAACACGTTACGTGTTCGTTCATTGAGGGCGGACGTACGACTACGAATGGTAGACGTACGACAACAGCCAGTTACTGCAACCTTATGGTCATCTTGATATCATTTATCTTATCTCTTATCTATATACTTGAGATATCAATTACTAATAGAATCTTTCACGCATCCAGATTCAATCATTCAATCAAGGTCAATTATAATTAAAATGAAACTGAAAATCATCCAATGTGTGATGAATTATTGGAGTTTTTACAAACACCGAAAATTCAGTACATGTATAATACATATAAACTTATTGTTAGTGATAGATATATATATAATTAATTAATTAAGGTATCGAAGTCGCAGAAACTTAATTATAGAGTTTAGTAGCCGTCACATACTACATTCTTACTCCAAATCGACACTCTTGGGACGAATTTTTTGACGAATATCCATAGCAGGTTTTCCACGCATGACTTCGTCATATCGAATATATCTAATATATTCCTTATTCTCTCTATTTTCAGCGTATTTTCTCATTTATGGAAAAAATGCACTATTGTGCTCGCCATAACCGTCTGTCCGTCCGTCCGTCCGTCCGTCTGTCCGTCCGTCTGTCCGTCCGTGACTTCACGTTTTCGTCGACGAGAAAATGCGCTCTCTGTCACTCACTGCAGTGAGTACTGTGTTATATTTTTTTTCATTTTAAACACCGATATCTTTTGCTTTGGCTCATACAAATTCTTCAGGCTACGTATCCTTTAAACAATTTATATATTATCTTTTCAAATTATACCTATGATTGAACTTCTTTACGTTTTTCAACATTAAAACATGTCTCGAGATTTCTTTTCCACGTACGTAACGACTTTGTACCACACGTTTGATCATTAATTAATATATTGTAATATATTTATTATTGCAATATAATATAATTAAATAAATATATTAAAAAATGATCAAATAATAATTTAATATTATTATTATAAACATTAATATTTTAATATCTGAACGTAACTTTATTCCATGTCAACTTAATTTTTTCAATCAGTTATTGAAGACAAAATAAATGCTATGCATGATCGCCATAACTGAAGTATTGATTACGTTTTTCAATAATAAAAATTTTTCACTTTAATGTTACTAATGTTACGAAAGGTTAGTGATGAAAGTTAATGTCCAAGTAAACGTTTATTTTCAAGTTAAATCAAAAGTTTGAAATTATTTTCATATATTTTATTTCTATTTATGTATATATTTTTGTTTATTTTATTTTTAAAGTCTATTTAAGGGACGACAAATTTTTAATTTCAGAGGCTGGATGCCAACTATACTGTATAATCCTCCTGATGCGTTACAAAAAAGGTTAAAGGTTCCGAGTTTTTTAATATAATGAAAATAATAATAATAGCAGGCAGGCTGGCCTGTGTTGAAATAATGGAAGGCAGGCTGGCCTGCGTTGATATAATGGAAGGTAGGCTGGCCTGCGTTGATATAATGGAAGGCAGGCTGGCCTGCGTTGATATAATAGAAGGTAGGCTGGCCTGCGTTGATATAATGGAAGGTAGGCTGGCCTGCGTCGATATAATGGAAGGCAGGCTGACCTGCGTTGATATAATGGAAGGCAGGCTGACCTGCGTTGATATAATGGAAGGCAGGCTGGCCTGCGTTGATATAATGGAAGGTAGGCTGGCCTGCGTTGATATAATGGTAGGTTGGATGGCCTGCGTTGATATAATGGAAGGCAGGCTGACCTGCGTTGATATAATGGATGGTAGGCTGGCCTGCGTTGATATAATGGAAGGTAGGCTGGCCTGCGTTGATATAATGGAAGGTAGGCTGGCCTACGTTGATATAATGGAAGGTAGGCTGGCCTGCGTTGATATAATGGAAGGTAGGCTGGCCTGCGTTGATATAATGGAAGGNACAGATAACGCACGTTTCTTGGATAACGTATATACGTTTCTAAGACAGATAACGTACGTTTCTAAGACAGATAACGCATGTTTCTAAAACAGATAATGTACGTTTCTAAGACAGATAGCGCACGTTTCTAAGACAGATAACGCACGTTTCTAAGACAGATAACGTACGTTTCTAAGACAAATAACGCACGTTTCTAAGACAGATTACGTACGTTTCTAAGACAGATAACGCACGTTTCTAAGTCAGATAACGTACGTTTCTAGTACCGATAACGTACGTTTCGAATACAGATAACGTACGTTTCTAAGACAGATAACATACGTTTCTAAGACAGATAACGCACGTTTCTAAGACAGATAACGGACGTTTCTAAGACAGATAATGCACGTTTCTAAGACAGATAACGTATATACGTCTCCAAGACAGATAACGTACGTTCCTAGGACAGATAACGCATGTTTCTAAGACAGATAACGTACGTTTCTACGACAGATAATGCACGTTTCTTCGACAGATAACGTGCGTTTCTAAGACAGATAACGTACGTTTCTAAGACAGATAACGTACGTTTCTAAGACAGCTAACGCATGTTTCTAAGACAGATAACGTACGTTTCTAAGACAGACAACATATGTTTCTAGGACAGATAACGCACTTTTCTAAGACAGATAACGTACTTTTCTAAGACAGATAACGCACGTTTCTATGACAGATAACGTGCGTTTCTAAGACAGATAACGCACTTTTCTACGACAGATAACTTACGTTTCTAAGACAGATAACGTACGTTCCTAAGACAGATAACGCATATTTTTAAGACAGATAATGTAGGTTTCTAAGACAGATAACGCATGTTTCTAAGACAGATAACGTACGTTTCTACGACAGATAATGCACGTTTCTACGACAGATAACGTACGTTTCTAGGACAGATAACGTACGTTTCTAAGACAGATAACGTACGTTTCCAAGACAGATAACGCATGTTTCTAAGACAGATAACGTACGTTTCTAAGACAGATAACGCACGTTTCTAGGATAACATATATACGTTTCTAAGACAGATAACGTGCGTTTCTAAAACAGATAACGCACGTTTCTTGGATAACGTATATACGTTTCTAAGACAGATAACGTACGTTTCTAAGACAGATAACGAACGTTTTTAAGACAGATAACGTACGTTTCTAAGACAGATAACGAACGTTTTTAAGACAGATAACGTACGTTTCTACGACAGAAAACGTACGTTTCTAAGACAGATAACGCCCGTTTATAAGATAGATAACGTACGTTCATAAGACAGATATATTTAACGTACTTAAAATTTGCGATGTTACGTGAGCTTTGTAACGATTGTCTTGTCTGTCGCCATGGTGTAAATTGTGTTCAAGTTTCGCTTAAAATCCTTATTTACTTCTGAGAATTTTTAACTAAAGAATTCTTTAGTAAATTAAATATTAAACCTTTAAAAATTGAATTATTAAAATTAAATATTAAGTTTTCCGTGCTTCTCCTAATGTTTTTCCTGTTGTTAAAGTGTTAATAAATGAATATCACAGGGAATAAACCCTAAACCAAGTAAAAATGCACTTTCGTTCTGCGAGTTCGAAGGTGGGACTGACTAAAACGTATGGGAACCTACCTTAGAGTGAAAACCTTGGTTCAAATTAACAAAAAATACCAAATCCTACATTTCCCTAACAACGTCCTATACGCGCGCGACGTGCAATTTTCGTTCGTAACCTTAGCGTCGACGAAGCTTTATTAAATATCACGGCCGTCTGCCGTTCATTGCGTTATTTGCTGGCATTCGTGTTGCAGCTGCGCGACTTCATAGCAACGTTGCTAACTGGTATATTTCCATACCGGATATAACAAATCTGGTATATTGTGATGGTGCTACCTCATAGCAACGTTGTCAACTGGTATATTTCCATACCAGATATAGCAAATCTGGTATATTGAGATGGTTTTTGTTATGGATATTTTTGTTCTGGTATATTTGCTATAATCTGGTGTGTTGAGCTGGCAATCGGATATTCTCTGTACAAAAATAGTTGATAACGCTGCCGTCATGTTCCGGTCAAAATGTCCTTCACGTTGCTGGACCGTGCCCGCAAGGCAGCTCCATAGCAAGACTTGCTAAAAGTGTAGCATATATATCTTGTTAATGCATCATTTTAGTTGATAAACAGCACTCAAATTTAAAGTAAATTATCTATTTTTCTTAACAGAGTAAAAAGGCGTACACTTCCCGCCTGATATCAACATGGGAGGACGCGTATTGCCCATCGTGGTTCAGAAAGAAGGATCTCGAGAGTTCGAACTCAACGAAGAGGCCCTCATGAGCGTCTTACATAGACCTGAAGTGCGCGATACTGCCCTCTGCGTGGTGTCTATTGCAGGGGCCTTCAGGAAGGGCAAGAGCTTCTTCATGAATTGTCTCCTGAAATACTGCATGAATAAAGTGAGTAATATGGATGAACATCAGTTGTTGGAGGACACGTGTTAAGCCAACATCCGGTCTAGTAGAATGAAAACTATCACGCTCACATCGGCTAAGGCTTGGTTCACACCACAATGGCGGGCACGTTCCATTTACGGTCCAGTCCAACATTATTTAATGTATTTCTATTGAACCATTCACACCAGCCTTGCAAGGCTCCAGCCAAGGCCATGCAAGTCATAAGATATATGGACCGGGACGTGAGTGCAGAGTTGCCATTGTTTTATTCCGAGTATATCTGGTTTCCAGCTCAACATACCAGATTTTAGCAGATATACCAGATCAAACATATCCACACCGGGCACAGTCTCACTGTACCAGATTTGTTAAATCTGGTATGGAAATATACCAGTTGGCAATGCTGCGTGACTACCATGCCACGGGCCCGGCAGTATGGTGTGAACCAAGCCTAAATATGAATTGCTTGTAATTGAGAGATAAATGACGATTCTGGGTATTTCTCCATTCGAATACACTCGCTTATAGAGATAAAAAAGTTAATATTACTTTCGTTGAAGTTGTCTGACATTGATCTTTCGTCCACATCAAACGTTCGATACCTAGGGCTCACCAGACTGGCTGGGTCAGGGTGAGCAATTGCAGCCAATTGGAGGCTTCGTCTGGAGAGCAGGTATGGAGAGAGAGACCACCGGAATATCTATCTGGAGCGAGCCTTTCCTCTTCACTAAATCAACGGGCGAAAAAGTGAGTGCAACTAGAAGCACAAATTTGTTTCTTTTTCGAACCCCGGTAGTTTTCATTGATGAACATTGAAGTACTGAGTAAATTGTAACGGCTGTAACACAGCATTAACTGGTTACGAAACATTAGCAATGGCATTCACGTTCTATTCACAGTAAGGAATAATTGTGCCAGCGGTCTGAACGAAGGACAGAACTTTTTGTTCTGCTCATGATATTCAGAATTTTGTTCTCTATGATATTCATTCAGAATTTGAGATTTAGAAACTTGAGTGAAACCTTATTTGTAGTCCAAAGCTTTAATTTTTGTATTGTTCCAGGTTGCTGTGATCCTTATGGACACCCAAGGCACTTTCGATTTGGAAACATCGGCACAGGTATGCAAAATTGACGTGGAGACAGTTAATTTGAGATCTCATGTCTTCAGCTTTAAGAGTTACAAGCTCTATTTTACGTTATTTATTCTAGTCTCCCGAACTTCTTGATGAAATGGTGCGATAAAAGTTGGTGCGATTTCTTTCCCTAAAATGAAGCTAGAAAAGTAGACCAACCATATCTTAGTTTAAGGATTGAGTAAATATTATGGTATATGTTAAAAAAATTAAGAATTTGTTGATAAAATGTATCTGGGTAACCCAAATCATAAATTGCCCAATAGTTTCTTTTATAAATTGATTATATTTAATAAATATAGAATTACACATAAACTTCGATGGGAAAAGATTAAGGGGACCTTATCGGTCAAAATCTATTTTCTATATTTATGAAAAGATCGTCTCCAAACTTGGTACACATATGTAAAACAGAATTTTAAGACTATTTTCATCATGTGAAATTTTCGAAAAAAAATGAAAGAAAACGTGAAATTCATAGAAAACGGCCAAAAAGGGGGAAAAAGAGGGTACTTTAGAAAATCTATCTCCTCCTACAATTATCGTGCTACAACATCGAGACACGTATCATTCGATGCGTAAAACGATTTTCTAGCGATTCTTGGGCCACTTTTTCAATTTTTTTCTTGGTTCTCTTTTTATGACGATTTTTCTGAAAAAAATTACTTTTTCGAAATTTACCCATATTTCCCCTCTTTTTTTCAAGATATTTTCAAAACTATAACGAAATCGAAAAAAGTGGCTCGACAATCCTAGATATTTTAATTGCGAATGGAATGGTGTATTAAAAAATGGTCTCATTGCTGTAGAATGGTCTCATTGCTGTAGAATGGTCTCATTGCTGTAGAATGGTCTCATTGCTGTAGAATGGTCTCATTGCTGTAGAATGGTCTCATTGCTGTAGCTCCAAAACTCTAGGAGGAGATAGGTTTGCAGTGACAATAAGTGTGAATGTTCACTAGGACACGACAAAGTCGCAGGAGCTTGCGAATACCCACTAAATGTAGCAAGGATACGAAACTTCGAAGGCTCGATTCCACTCGAGGATGCTCGGAGCAAGTTCTAGCGCACCTCCCCGTGCGATGCCAGGAGGTGCACTGGCTCCAGGGGCCGTATTATCAAAACTTCGTAACTTTTTGTACTTCCGACAAAAAAGTTACGTGTTACGTAAGTACACCCTAATTTTGGCATTATCAAAACATTCGTACGTAAGACTTAGCTAAAAGCGTATTTTCAAAACCATCTGGCCAACTGACCAATCAGAGGCTTTGGATTTGTTTACATTCTGTGAACTTCGATGGCGGGAATCGATGCCTACGATGGTATCGACTATCGAATGCTCTCTGTCGGTATTGCTCTTTGTTGACCCAGAATAAGCCGTTCTAAAATAGTTGTGAACTCTTTTTAATAAACAGCGTGAGTTGAAGAAGAAATCTGTGTACGGAGCTAAAAATTATGGTTGGCAGAGATATAAAGTACCGACTAGAAGGAATGAATGATGAGAGTTGGGCGCGAAAGCTTTGCTTTCGCGCTTGTAAAATATAACGTAATATGCATTTGCTTGTAAAATATAACGTAAAAGGAAAGTAAAATCCGTTTCTGGCATTAACTCAATTGAATTATTTCCAATAGCACTGTTTAGCACGATCACATATTTTGATCGTGCAAATGTTGTACGATCAAGTAGTGGAGATATCACAAGTAGAGCCATCATTCTATGCGTGTATAATCCGCGCCATCGGAATATTGACAAAATTCTATCACAAGTCAAGGTGTTGCTACTTGCTAGTGAATCAATAGTTTCCTATCGCTTCAGCAGACACTCTAAACTTGTGGGGAACTTCACTTACGACATCTCCGAGCAGGCGTACAGTTACGTTACGTATCTTCCCGCGCAAATGTTTTGATAATACCACCTTTAGAGTTACGTCATCAAGTCAGCACTTGCGCCATTCGTAAGTCGACTTTTTCGTACTTACGAAGTTTTGATAATACGGCCCCTGCTAACCAAAACACTCTCTTTTGTACGCTCTGGACTGGTATTTACTGCCTATTAAAGTTAAAGAACCCTCCTCCCCCTCATCCACTTTGGCATCTGTAGTAAACGCAGATATGAACGTACAGAGATGGTTTTAGTACCGTTGAATGCGTCAGAAAAGCAGCTTTAAGATGCGTATAAGAACTAGAGAATGTCATAATTGGCCGCTTTACGTCAGAAGATTTACTTTATAGTGAAATGCCGTGCAATTACTCCCTTGACTTTACTGAAGGGGGCCGGACACCCGCCCCCCTTTTGGGATCTGTAGTGAATGCATAAATTAACGTACAGAGATGGTTTTGGTACCGTTGGATAGCTAAGAATGTCAGCTCTAAGATGAGACTAAAAACCCAGAAAAGCCAAATCCATCATTTTGACCGATAAGGTCCCGTTAATTATAATGCACTTTCTGTACTTATACAATATTACTATAAATACTCAACAATAGAATAGTCCACACAAAAGCATGGTTATGTAGATTTAGACATCTTGGTGTTTTCCAGCATGCGGCTCTAGCAGGAAGTCTGAGCCTGCAGTATAATTTAATCACAGGAGTCTGAATTTGTTAACAACTGATGGCGTAAAGCATCAATTAAAAAATGAACTTTCCTGAAAAAATTGAGTTTATACCATGATATAGTAAATACCAGGCATAGTAAATTTATACCAGGCATAGTAAATTTAGTAAATAGTAAATTTTATACTCTGGTCAAGCGTATTACTACCAAATGAAAATAAATTAGTTAGTATCGGAATTAGCTTCCACCAAAATATGGCTGGAGCCAACTATTCAATAGAATATGCTTACGTTATGAATTTCGAGGAAAATGTGGTTTTATGTCCGCCCCGTGATAACTTTTGCGTGTTTCGTATCTATATTCTACGAAACGTGGCAAAACACTCTCCTTCACTTTTACTTTGCAAAAAACCTTCGGATATTAAGTAGCTGCTGGAACGGCAAATTCGTTCAATTATGTTACCATTACCCAGAGTTGGTGGCAATATCCCTATAAAATATATCCCGGTTGATTAACATTAGCCATTCATTCTCGCAATGGAGATTTTGTTAGCTCCAAAATTGTAATTAGCGGCCCGCACCGCTTCTTCACTAACTGATAACCTCAAAAATTTATTACTATATACGGCATTAACTATCAGATTTTTAAGATAACGAATATAAATACTCGTACTTCTTTAGATTTTTCATCAAATTATAGTTCGGTATCTCTAAAACAAAGTATTTCTTTACATTTCGATAATCAAGAATTCGTGTCCATAGATCCAGGCCTGTAAATAATGTAAGAAGTAACCGCATGCATCAGAGTGAGGGTGCACAAAATGTTTTGAAATGTTTTTACATGAACTCGGATTCCGTTTTGAACAAAAAAATGAACTGTGATCGCAAACGAATGTATAGACATTATTTGTATTACAGAAACACTCCCTAAAAATCACGGGGGAAAATTGTACCTGCTGAATTTCAGTAGCCAGCTTTTGATTGTTTCATAACTTAAATGAAGAGCAGTGCAGTAGAGGTGTAGCTCTGTGGGTTAAAACCTCTTATGTGGCCCAACAAGTTAAGTTACTGCATAGCATCAATCAGCTATAGAGTAAGTGTGGAGCGACCTTTCTCGCAAAGACAAAGATAGCCTCCTCATAGGCCTCGTGTATAGATCGCCAAACCGTTCCTCTGATAACTATAAGGTACTAAACAGTCTTTTACCGGACATGACTTTCCGTAAGTCACCCACGTTGCTCGTTGGTGAATTTAATCATCCAGAACTAGACTGGACAGAAAGATCCTCTCCAAGGGATGGGAATCACCCAGCATCCTTATTCATGGAGTCTGGGAGAGACTCCTTCCTAGTTCAGCACGTTACCAAGCCAACCCATAATAGGAGTAAACAGACTCCCAATATTCTAGACCTGGTGTTTACTAGTGATGAATCAATGTTAGATGAGCTTCGTAACGAGTCTCCATTTGGCAAAATCACCAATCAAAATCAGCAATCATTATTTTCCAGTATTAAAGGCTGTCGAGAAAAGACGCCTCGGAAGCGTGAGCGTTTGAACTTTGCGAAAGGTGACTATGATAAACTCCGTGAAGCAGTGAATGCAGTGAACATTTCGAACTGTATTAAGGACATGAATGTGGCTGAGTCATGGTCATTTCTCAAGGACACGGTTATGTCTGCAGTTTATGCGTTTGTACCTAAAATTAAGCTTTGTGTAGCCAAAAAACTCAGTGGAAGAACAGAATAGTTCTAGCTAAGCTGAAAACCAAGAAGGAAGCCTACCAGCGTTATTTACAGACTCGTAGCGATGCTGATTATAACCTATACGCAAGAGCTCGAAATCAAGCTAAAGAAAGCTGTCACACCGCAGTAAAAATCTTCGATAAAAATATTGCAAAAAATGCAAAAAAAGAACCCGGAAGCCTTATTTCTGTACGCTAGTTCGAAGTGCGCGACCAAGAGAATTTCTGATTATTAAGTAGATCAACGATTTTAAGTAGATTTAGTAGCGCATTCACTGAAACGGACTTGAACAGTAATCCAGCCATTGAGGGGCGCCCAGTAGGCTCTAAATTAACAAGTTTTGAACTACAGGAAGACGAGGTTCTCAAGCGCCTTATCGCTGTAAATCCCACAAGTCTTATGGACCGGACGGCTTCCCCCCAGATTACTCATAGAGTAAGCAACCGTCCTACGTTATTTTTTCGAAAAACTTTGAACGAAGGTATCGTGCCTGCTGACTGGAAAAAAGCTCAAGTGACACCATTGTTCAAAAAGGTGACAAAAGCTGTCCGGGCAACTATCGCCCACACAGTTTGACAAGTGTCGTTTGCAAAGTAATGGAATCTGTTGTGAGGAATCAATTGATGGATCATTTGACTGTTAATAATCTCCTATCAGACGGGTGAGGAATCAATTGATGGATCATTTGACTGTTAATAATCTCCTATCAGACGGTCAACATGGCTTTATTGCCGGAGATGCAGCACCACTAACATCTTGTCTATTCTGAATGAATGGACCCGCCTGCTTGACGAAAGGGAGCCAGGAGATGCAGTGTACCTCGATTTTGTCAAGGCATTTGATAGTGTCCCACATGAGCGGCTGTTGCGTAAATTGAAGTCTTTGGAAATTGAGAGTAATGTACTGAAATAAATCAGAGATTTCCTAGTAGGTAGACGACAACGTGTCAGTGTTGACGGAACCGTATCAATTGGGCATCAGTGCGCAGTGACGTGCCATAAGGAAGCGTTCTTGGGCCTATTTTGTTTGTTGCGTTTATAAACGATCTGTCAGAAGCTGTGTCTAGCGTGTGCTCGATGTATGCTGACGACACAAAAGTTTATAATACAGTGAAGAATACGTCGCAAAAAGTACCGTTGCAAGGTGATCTTGACAGGTTAGTGGAGTGCAGGCTGATAAGTGGCAGCTGCGTTTTAATATTGACAAATGTAAAGTAATCCAAATTGGCAAAAACAATGAACAGCAAGATGAACGAGACATGGAGAGAAGAGACGAGAAGACATAGTTACGAGAAGACATGGTTGCAATGACAGAGTGATGATGTCAAAGTCGACAATGGAAAAAGATTTAGGAGTGTATGTCGACAATGTGTTGAAATTTTATAAGCACATTGAAGCTCAAGTTAATAAAGCCAATAAACGACTTGGATTGATCAGACGCTCTCACGAGTACATACGTACTACATGCAGAAGCGATGAAGCTGTTGTTTGTCGCTGCCGTGCGTCCGAACCTAGAGTTTGGAAACGCCGTGTGGTTACCAAAACTAGTAAATGAAAAAAATTTAGTCGAGAGCGTTCAAAGACGTGCAACAAGGATAATTCCCAAGCCTTATGAACAAAGATTAAATATTATGAAGATTCCAAGCCTCTGTTATCGACCTCTGCGTGGTGACCTCATTGAAGTATATAAGTATACCTACGGTTCATACAAGGTCCCAGAAGGAGTCCTAGAATTTCAAACAAGAACCAACACCAGGGGCCACGTTTATAAACTAAAAGAGCTGCGTTGTAACACATTCATGCGACAACATTTTTTTCTCGCTTCGAGTCACCGACATGTAGAACATCCTCCCTGATAGCATCGTTGACGCTCCGAGTATGAACGCCTTCAAGAACAGACTAGACGAAGCTATGCAGGAGAATACCTTCAGTCTTTAAATGCCTTGCACTTTACGGTCTTGCAATAAGTCCAGCAGCTATCTCAATCAATCGTCAGTTATGGAAAGATCGGGTTCAAAAGGCAAGTTCCCTTGTGGAATCAAGTCACGAAAAGTACAAGAGTCGGCAATAGGCCATGTATGGGCCTATTTCTTCGGTGCCGACACTTCTATTCCATTCAATTCTATTCTAAGTGTTCATTTCGGATTTCAAATGAAGATTCTGTTATAAGTAAGTGATGCAGGGAATATAAATCTTGCACAGTTAATTACGATCTGAGTTTTCAACAATATTTTTCTTCTACAAAGCTCATCTAACATTTACTTGTCGAGAATACGAATAAAGCTCATAAACAACTTATTAATCCCTCATTTCTGCTACAGCTTTTCTTGTGTCCCATTTCTCGCAGGAATCCACGTTCATATTCGCCCTGACTCTGCTGGCCTCTTCTGTCACTGTCTACAACCTGATGAACCAGATCCAGGAGGACGACCTCATGAACCTTCAAACTTTCAGCTCATATGGCGTCCTGGCTCAGGAAAATAGTCAAGGCACGCGTTCATTTCAGGTACATAACTCGTTCACATTTCAGGTACACAGCTCATCCGCATTGCAGGTACACAGCTCGTACACATTTCAGGTATACAGCTCGTGCACATATCAGGTACACAGCTCGTACACATTTCAGGAACACAGCTCTCACAGCTCGTACACATTTCAGATACACATCTCGCCCACATTTCAGGTACGTACAGCTCGTACACATTTCAGGTACACAGCTCGTACACATTTCAGGTACACGGCTCGTACACATTTCAGATTCGCAGGTCGTACACATTTCAGGTACAAAGGTGGATCGAATACTCGTTGAATTTTTGCCACTTCAATGGCCCGCTATCTTGTGTTGTGGGTGCTATGTTGGCGCAGGCGTTACCTATTGGCTTACATATTATTTCACCCCTAGTAGAGAATCAAAATACGATTTCACTCATATCAGTATTTTTTATAACGATTTTCTCGTCAATGGAGGCTTGAACGTAAACATTGCAGTAACATTGTTATAATATTTCAAGTGTATGCAGCTGGGCGTGTATTTATTTCAGTCTTCCATTTGACAAATGAGGTAAGAGGATTTCATGTCACCCTACGACCAAAAGGAGCACCTCTTAATATCAATTAACTAATTTTCCGTCGCATATGATGAAATATTGAAATGAAAAGTCTGTACTAAAACCATGAACACGGTTGAAAAATTCCCGGTTTGAGTAAACTATTATTGATCTAGCTCATCACTGAAATAATCAAAATAAATCCTATCTAAGTTTATTACGTATAACTTAAAGCAAGTCGTTCTCAGTTGAAAGGGTATGAGTTATCTGTTTTCTTCAGCCCATAACAGGGCTCGGTAATTCGGTTATTGCAAAGCATTCAATTCCATTTTGGAAATATTCATTCCTCTATACCAGGCAGACTTTGAATTGACAAATTCTTATTTATTGGAATTTGCTCCCGTGGATCACATAATCGATTTTAAATTTGTTTTCACAAATGCATCATTCATCATGTGCGCTTCCTATCCAGTGCTTAATTTGAAATATGCTACCTCAAGTGGTAAGCCAAGGCATATAGTGTCTAGATCTGCTCGTTCAAAATAATAAAATAGTAATTGTACTTATCCGTCCAAGATTTCTTAAAGCTTCAAAAGAATTAGTTTCGAATTACTTGAACGACGTGACTTATATTTACTTATGTTGTCCCGGTTCAGAAGCTGATGTTCCTCGTGCGCGACTGGAGTCATCCAACTGACCATGCGTACGGTCACAAGGGAGGCCAAGTGGTGCTGGAAAAAGTGTTAAACGTGAGTTGGCCCAAACATTACGGAACCTATAATAAGTGCTTTAATCCATCAAAAAAGCAGAACAAAAATTCTATGTTGAAAAGTGTCCTCTTGAAAGTGCTATTAACAATTTCATTCGGAATGATGACAACTTAATCACAAGATTGCACTTTAAACCTTATGTACAGAGCCCATCTTCCATGAAATCATTTGGGATAAAAAGTTATATATTTTTTTACTAATAAAAAGTTTTATTTGCGAAAATTCTGAAAAGCCTGAAAATCCTCAAAACAAACTGATAATATAATTGTGTATAAATATATAAAAATTATATATATTTCACAAAAGAATGCAAATATACCTTAAACTAGAAGTGCTAGAGAAAAACAGCCGGTTTTGAAATGGGAGCGCAGCCCTACACCACAAATTTAGCTCATAAACAAGCCGTTGCGCCAACGCCTACCCTATAATGCAATAACTAAACTCAGCTCACACCCAAGAAGCTGTAGGTAACTGAGTCATCTCCCCACACCAACTTTAAGCAACACCTACCTCACTCCACAGCCTGCTGAATCAAATAGTTAATTGTCAACAGGTCTTACTCCACAGAATTTTACCCCATACTATCACTTCTTACACACACCGTAAGCCTTACTGGCCGCAGACCAAGCCGGATCACCGTAAACCTGCTCTGCTATTTGCAGGACTGGCGTAATCCCGCCGCACTCCACGGGCAGAAGCGCAAACCGCCGTCCCTATAACGCCATGCCCGGCTCTCCCCCTTCGCAGCCATAAGGCTTTCTTCAATTGCTGATCAGTTGTGCGCCAGGTTAGGTTAGGTCCCTCCATCGCGCTAGGCGCATTACTGATCGGGCAACGAGAAAAGCCTTCTGCTGGCTGCGAAGGGGGAGAGATGGGGCATGGCGTTATAGGGACGGAGGTTGGCACTTCTGCCTGTGGAGTAGAGCGCGATGAAGCGGTAGCTGTGACGTAACGGCGCTGTAATGTCGGGCGCTTATTTTCAAAAGTCGCGAAAACTCCAGGCTGTGTTTAATGGAAGCACGCAACAGTTTGGCTATTTGCCCACGGCTGTGGCTTCGGCGGCTTGATGTTATCTGGCTGATTGATTCATTCCCAGGAAAGGAAATGGCACCTATGGCTTTAGGCCTTAATCACACAGGCTAATATGCCCTCTAGCGTGATTACGAGCGGAAAGGAATAGATATTGAATTGTGGCAAGGGCTATGCAGAAGTCTATACTGCGTCCCCAAAAATTCACCTGTTATTCTCCATCAAGTGAGGTTCAAAGCGATTATAGCCCAATACTTAGCCATTTCTCGCAGGAAATTCACACAAGCCCTCAGTATTGATGTTATAGAAGTAGACAGCAAAATTCACATAAAAAAACAATTGGAGCCATATTTTATATTAGATCAATTTGTACGAATACTTATTGTACAAATTGATCAGATTGATCTGAGTATTTCCATTGTCAGGTGAAGGAGGAACAGGAGCCGGCGCACCAGAGGTTGAGACAAGGCCTCCGTCAGAGTTTTGAGGAGCTGGAGTGCTACCTCATGCCTCATATTGGCCTTAGCGCCTCGCGGAACCCCAATTTCAAGGGGCACCTTGAACGTGAGTCTCTGGACACAATGAAGCTCTAGCGTATTTCAATTTTTCAAGTAACTCAATATATAATTCCAGTTTCTTTTGTAAATTATTTGCGTGCCATTATTTTTTTATATTTATATCCTTAAAAATTACATTACATTAATTACATTACATTATATTACAAAAATTACATTAGGTCTTTCATTTTACTTTCTCCAAAAAGTTTCAGTTCCTCTGATTAACGTTATTCCGTCCTTGCTCGTTTTATTGACTTCTTGCAACTGAGATTCCAGTGATAATTGAACATAATCTTGGTTTATTGAAAAAGAATCATTTCCCTCAATGATCTGCCATTCTATGTACTGCAAATCAAATTTTATGAAATGAACTGCATGTCTCATATCTGTGATCTTTCTGTGCAGAGTTAGACCCGTTATTCGTGGAGCATCTGAAGCTGCTGGTGCCTCGCCTGCTGGCGCCTGAGAACCTCGTGGTGAAGCGCTCATGTGTGACGCTGGGGAAGCCCGCCACGGCAGACGAGCTGGTGGAGCTGTTCAGAACCTTCATAAAATTCTTCAATGATGGAAATCTGGTCCAGGCTACAAGCATGGTTGAGGTGTTGATGCTAGGAAGATTATAATTAAATTACACCAATTCATTATATTTGGGAAATGTAGTGAATTTGATTTCAAATTAAGCAAATGAATTCTGAATGGAATTCAATAAAGTTAAAAAAATTCAGTCGAAGAAATCATCGCCCCAAATATGTACCATTCTGTCAATTTTGATAATGCACGAAAACTTTTAACGCTAACTTATCAAAGACGTTAGGAATTCAGACATTTTTAGGACTAATCATTTTAGGACTAATTTCAGACATTTTTGAAATATTACATGTTGCATTTCCTGCTGCAATCTCGAAAGATATTGCATTTTAAGAAATTGTGCTCACTACCTTCCTTTCAGTTGATGTCGCGTATGGCCAGTGAGGCAGCTCGCAAAAGAGCCCTTGAGGTCTACAGGGAAGCCATGGACTCGATAATCAAGTCCGATGGGGAAGATCCTCAGGCGGCAGTTCTGGTTGAACACCACTTCGAGTCAAGCAAAGAAGCCCTTGCAGTTTACGCCAAGGAGAACCCGTTCGCCAAAAACTGCGCCATATTCCCAATTGCTGATGAAATAAGAGAAGAACTCAAGTCGGTGAGTAAACCGAGTGGGATGAATCTTGTGAAATTGCGCTAGTAGTATTTTCATCTGGTACTCTAATAGGAAGTTTTTCCACGCTAAACTTTCCATTGCTTTCTCCATTGATTTCTTAACACGTTGAGCTGAAATATGATCACTATTACGGGTCTAGTAGGCACTGGGCGTAACTAGAGATCCAAACCTATATCCGCAATAACCCGCCAGGTTCATCACACTTCTTGCAATTCATAATCAACAGTGTAATAATATCAACAGCTCATCATGCTTATATTCAGTTGATATCATAAGTCCAGGTTCTGGGGGTGTCTGCATGAGAGATGCAGACAAATGAGCAGAGGTGGACAGTAGCGCGCTACATGTAGCGGCCGCTACTGGCGGCCGCTATAATTTCAGTAGCGGTAGCGACCGCTACATATTTAAGTAGCGATACGAGGTTTTGCCGCTACAGCGCTACCGCTACATATTTATGTAGCGATACGAGGTTTTGCCGCTACAGCGCTACCGCTATATTTATAGATAAAGCCTTTAGATTTTACTTAATAGTATTAAATATTATTTAACAACCAGCATGATACATACATAATATAAATTACAGAATAAAACTGTACGAAAGATTTCGGTGTAATGTTGTCAACCTCAGCCTGTTACTAGTGTCAACATGTTAGTTGTTACTTGTTAAGTTGTTACCAGTTACCACTTAACTTAATTAAGGCCGGTCCAAACTCTTAGTTTTACACAACGATTTGTCTGCGGAGTTCTAATCGTTGCAGATAAAACGTTGCGTGTGGACGGGAAAACTGCGCAGTTTTGAAGTCGGCGGGAAAACTGCGCAGTTGCATCGAAATCTGAGCTCCAGAGAATAGATTTCGATGAAATTTCGATGAACTGCGCAGACAAGTCGGAAATCGTGAACGGTAGCCAGTTTTCCGATTCAATTTGTGCTCAGTTTCAATGATTCTGGCGACAATGGCGGACCTTCGGTAATGTTCTCGGGAATTTATTGCTCTTCTATCCGAAAGTTTTTCTTGCTTTTGGCGAGTAAAATTCAAGGACTATAGTAACAGGGACAAAAAAAGATGGAGATATACAAGGGCTTAGTAGAAAAATTTAAAGAAATCGATGAAAGTGCAAACAGAGAAACAGCTGTAAAACAAGTTGAGGAGCATTTACCGCAAACAATTGGGAATAAATAAAAAAAAACGATTCCATCTGGACCTGGAGAAGAAGACATCTCTCTTGTATTTTGATTCCTCGCATTCCCTAAATGATCCAATCTCTTTTTTAACAAGGCACAATGCCAAAAATGTATCAAAATACTGCCTTTTCCATGGCACGCCTCGGACAAATTTACGGCCGGACTCGCGGCCAGTCTCCCTAAATTCGATGAGCATGGAATATCTCTCAAAGTAATGAACGTAGCTCGATAAAACTTGGTACACGTATTCATAAGGACATAATAACTCTTATAACTTATAACTCTCCCAGTGCCTGAAGCTGGGGTCTAATAGTTGAAATTATTTCATATATGCAAGCATAATTAATTGCAGTTGTTAGCAGAAATGTAGTTGCCATCCCATTAAAACGTGACAAATCTTTGCGATTTTTAAAATTAAATTTCGTCACGAATCAGCGATGTTAATCCATTCAGTTGTAACTATATTAGTAGTATAGAGACCGAGCCTACCACAACACTTTACATAAACAGCTTAAATTATAGTTTACCAATCATTTACCCCGAATATTACCCAACAAAATTAACCAATTACTCCCGAATAAAACCTTCTTCAATATTATTACGAACAATTACCCCTGAATCTGTATAAACAGCTTAACAGGGTACCGATCATGAATCTTATCCAACAAAATGAACCAATTACTCCCGAATCATGAGTTATCGACCATTTACCCCGATTTTACTACACTCTT